ACCCCTCCTCAAAGAGTACGCTAAGCTTTTGGTGGTCTGCCTGAAGATGACATCAATTCTCCTAAAAATCTTACAGGCGAAAATGACGGGCATGTCCCTAACGTAAGCCTGCCAAGCGTAGGCAAGGCTAAGCCTGTGCTGAACCGTCACATTAGGGCGGGAGGGGCCTTTGCTTGAAATTCAAGTGTTGATGTTGAACTCTCTAAACAAAACAGTAGTGTGCATGTGCTGATGATGTGCATCCCCATCAATCTCTCTCTCTCTCACACACACAATTACAGACTTACAGTGCTGATAAGCAAATTAAATGGTGAAGCTCTAACAACATAACTGAACTGGCCCCTGTTCAATCCATGGCATTGAATTTGGATGGATGCCATCTGCTCAGATAGGAGGCCATGTCAGACAAAAATGGGAGACAATGGGTCTGGTCAGGCACGCGCTGTGGGCCGGGGGAGCAGGGTGTGGAACCAATCAACCAAGTTGATCTGTGAGACTCACTCCGTATATGGTCGAGCCCGGAGCCATTCCACTTCCACATATTCTTCTTCATTCATTCATTCAACACTCAACACTCAAGACTCAGGCCTGAAGATAGAGCATTATTCCACGTTCCACTGCTGATTGCTGAATGGGATGGGAGACAAAGTAGTGAATATGAATCCAATGGGTAGAAGGTGGGTGAGAAAGACAAATCCTGAATTTTGTGCATCCACTTGCGCTTCCTGTTCCCCCTTCTGTGCCAGACGGTAATTGCACATTTCGTCAAACCCAGCATGTGTCATTGTGTCCATTATGTTTCACTTTCAATGTTTAATTTACCGTGGCCGGTGCTTTCTTTCTCTATTTCTTCTTCTTGTTCAAATCATCAGAGAGAATTCCCATTTCCCAGTCGTCCATTCATTCAATAACAGCGTCTTTTCACAGTTTGAATTGCAAGAAAAAGAAGAAATTAAGAAAGCTAGCCTGGCTTTAAGCAATTAAGGTCGTTGGCTTATCTTATCAAAATGATGGAATTTATATTTTAACAGCTTCAAGTGATTTGGATTTTGGGCGCCCTCAGTTTTGACAAAATGGAGAGACTCAGAGATTCCCCCAAGCCAATGATGGGTCATTGGGCAGTTGGGCATTGACAAGCCAAGAGCTGCCCTATATATTATATGTCCTAGGCTAGGGCAACGACATATGTATAGGAAATTAACTCATCGTCCCACCCCACTTAATGAATCACGTTTTCCATGTAAAGGAGAATGCTGACGTGCATGGTTGATACAGCATTCCTTAATGGGATTTGGGAAGGTACTTATTAGGTACCCAACCAAATTGCCCATTTTGATATACTTTAGTTTGAAAGAGATTTAGGTTTTCTCTACCAGAATGAATCAGGCCTATTATTTCAGTATGATTTCATTTTATATTTTATTAAAAAGATTATATTATTGAATTCAACCATGTCCATCCAACCTCCATCTGCCCATTCAAAACAAAATGGGTCAACCCCCAAAACTAAATAAGGCCAAAATATATACTTTTTATGGTAATCAGGCCAAAAAGATAAATAATGATTCAATCAACTCTGAACCATGAGATCTTCATCCCTATTGACCACATTAGTTGGGGTAGTGGCCACACTAACTCAGTTTAATTAATGATTAACCAACCATTCTTCCTTTGATTTGTTAATGCATTTGTTTTTTCACAAAACTAAATTGGAAGGAACAAGAAGCTGGTTCAGGGTCAGTGGTGAATCAAAGAAAAATAGATGCCTAGAGTGTTATCTATTACTTTTGGTTACTTTACAAGTCCCCTTGCTGTGTTTAGTTCCTAAGAAAACAAGTGAGAGAGGGATAGCTGCTAATAAAATCCATAAGATGCCTTAACAGGCTTTCCCACAATTTTCCTTTTGGAACAAGAAGCTGGTTCAGGGTCAGTGGTGAATCAAAGAAAAATAGATGCCTAGAGTGTTATCTATTACTTTTGGTTACTTTACAAGTCCCCTTGCTGTGTTTAGTTCCTAAGAAAACAAGTGAGAGAGGGATAGCTGCTAATAAAATCCATAAGATGCCTTAACAGGCTTTCCCACAATTTTCCTTTTCTCATGAATTTTTAGCAAGTCTTAATAGACAAGGAACCCATATCTTTCCCTCAAAGTGCAAAAGAGGGGGTCTGGGGGGGTGTAGGGTTGAGGATGAAAACTAAAAGAGACCCAATTGGAATCCAATCCGGTGCATTCATTTAGTACCAAAACAAGGGGTGCCCTGTTTGGTTTTCAAAATGTCATCATATGTTGCTTTCTCTTTTAACCCATTTTTGGTAAGCCAGTTGATGGTAGGGGACTCACCCAAAAATGGGGTCCATCATCTCCATCCATGTAATGTGAGTCTATCAAAAATGCAAGAAAGAGATAAAAGATGAGAGAGAGAGAGAGAGAGAGAGAGTGACAGAGAGACATGATTCTTGATTGCCATCTCAAGTCTCAACCAATGCAAAGCAACACAGTTACCCAAAGTAGCATCACTTGATGACAACCGTCCAATGGAGAAAGATGGGCCATCACCTTTAAGTGATGGGTTGGCCATTAGGATGCTCAACTTATGATGTTGAGGCTTATATAAACAGTTGAGTTTGTTTCTTTGTTTGTATCAACCCAAGAAGTTTAATTTGCAGAAAGCAGCACTAAAACTGGTGTAATTGAATTGAAATAGCCGTTGGACAAAAGACTAAAGAAAGATTTGAGTTTTTTTTTTACTGCATTTGCATTGGATAGAATACATGGTAACAGACTTAACAGTGATACATTGATAAAAGGCATTGGGGAATGCTCTTCTTTTCTTTCTTTTTTTTTTTTTTTCCTTTTATCAGAGCAAAGAACCAACTAATGAATGACAGAATGAAATCAACAACAAGTCCTCACGGAGAGAGAGCTTTCAATGTACACTGATCCAGACAAGAAAGAAGAAAGGTGCAACTGAACGTATCTGATAAAGTAAAATAATCCAAACACCACCGTTCCCTACCCTTCTCTAATCTCCATAGAGTCTAGTCTCTCGCATAAATAAAAGCAGATCTCGCGTGACCATCTCTCTCTCTCTCTCTCTCCTCTCTCTCTCTACAGATTCACTGCTAAGCTGGAGAAACTGGCAAAATACAACCAACCCATGTTCACGCACTCACTTTATCCGAAACCAGAAGAAGCTAAGAAAGGAAATCTGAAACCCCATTATCTACGCCAGAGGTGCAGCAGCAGCTGCAGTATCAGCTGATGTGGTCAGTCTCAAACTCCAAAGCAAGCCCCATACTCATGCCCCCCAGAGAGAGAATCAAAATACCCAGAGAGAAAGATTGATTTTGACGTTAGACCCGTTAAAAGGGAAGATGAATTTCTCTTTTCAGACACATGAAAATTTATGCTAGATTTTGCTAAAAACTACACTGTTTTCTTTCTACAGTCTTCACCTTTCCTATCTCTCCTGTCCTTCAAATTCTAAAGCTAAAAGAGAGCAAGATTAAAACACTAGAAAGAGTGATTAACAAAAAGTACAGACAATGAATTCTTAATTCACAAGCTAAGCGGAAAAAAAAAGAAAAAAAAAAAAGAAAGGAAAAGCAAGCCAAACCCAGAACTCAGAACGGTGGTGGTGGTGGTGGTTGTCTGGCGGTGGGTGCCCAAATGACATCCGAAGGTAGGTGACAGCTGTAGATTGACATTCCACATGATTCTGCCGGAGGAGGGTGGCTTCCTTCTCCACCGCCAGGAGGGGAAGGAGACTGGCCGGCGTTACCGGAGAGAGAATTGGGAACTTCGTCTTCCAGGGGCAAACGATGATAAGACGGATTACTAAATGTTGCAGCGACGATAAAGACGGTACCGGCGGCCAGAAGAGAACCTACGACTGACCCTCCAAGGATCTGACCTTGCGGCCCAGCGAGCGAAATCGTAAACCCATTAACCGAAGAAGGAAGCGACGTTGATGAGGGAGGGAGAAAGGTAGCAGAGATGGAGAGTATATCAAAGCGGCCATGAAAGGTGACGGTAGCACCCGGGTTGGTGGAGGGTTGACGGAGAGTGACGTTAGCGACGGTGCCAGACCCACTGAGAACGCAGACACCAAGATTCCGTCGACGAGAGAAACGAGAGATGGCGTCCACTACATCCAGACCACCGGGGACCTCGAGGACTTGGGGGCGCATTGCGCACTCGGTGTCGCGAGTGATTATAACAGGAGGCTTGGGTTTGTTCTTGGAGCCAGGTGGGCGACCCCTTGGACGCCTGACCACTTCAATGGTAGCACCGTCGCCAGCAGCGGTGGTTCCATCTACTTTCTTAATCTTCTTGACATTAATGGATCCGTCGGCCGTGCTGCCAGCAGGGCCACCGCCACTACCTCCTCCTACTCCTACTCCTCCGCTGCTTCGGCTCTCATCTTCTTCTGAAGTCTGGCATTCCCGAGTCACGACGTGGTGTAGCTGCTGCAGCTTCTGCTGTTGGTGATGTGGGTGGTGAAGCTTCGCGAACATATTGTTCCCACTGCTGCTATTCTTTCCTTCTTCATATTCACCTTTCATCTCTTCGAATTATTTATATATAAAAAATATAATAACAATAGTTCTTTGTATGTAAAACGAAAACAAACAAGGCAGTAGTGACTCGGTGGGGGAGAGAGAGAGAGAAAGAGTCAACAGAAGATTTTGATTTGTTTATATTTGATGTAAATAAATCATAAATGAGTCCATACAAGAGAGGAGAGAGAGAGAGGTAGTTGAACTTGGAAACCAAGTGAAGATTAATGGCGCCGCTGGTTGGAGGTGGTGCCTGGTGGGGGTCCACGTATAAGACAGGGAAAAGATGGAGAGATTTCAATTCAATCTCTTCCTTCTCTCTATGGCTGGGTTTATCTTTTCTTTTAACTTTTGTTTTGGTGAGCAACTCAATTCTCAGCCTTCACCGCCTTTCTTTTCTTCCTTCCCATTTCAAGTTTGAGATGAGAGAATGAGAAGGGCTGAAGGGGGGATTACTGTCATACTGTGGAGCGTGCCCTCCCCACTTCACAAAACCGAATGATGCCAAGCTGAAGTTGGCCACTCTTTGGCCCGACCAAGCCCATTCAGTCCATTGACAAGTGACAACGACCCATTTCATGCCTTGGACTTGGATCCTTTTTTTTTTTTTTTCCTTTCAAATTTTAACTTAATTAATTAATGAATTACCACGCACGTGTACACTCACACGGACACGGACACGAACACCCACGTTCTCGATCAAATTCTGAATTTGGAAAATAATTGGATGTCAAAGCTAGCTCATAGGCTTACGCACGGCCCAGCAGGCAACAGCCCACATCCTTTGACGGTATAAAAAAGGGAATATTGAATATTGATTTTCAGCCCGTGTCCTTTATAGTTTTTTACACCGTAAGTGTTGCTTACAAGAAAAGATGATGTGCCGTGGGCGGTGGGCCAATCACCTTCTAAAGCTCTAGCGTGGGACGGCGCAGCATCATTCATGATGCCTTCATGCAAGCAAGAGCCAAGAGCCCAAGAGGTGACTGTCCAAATCGAAGATTTGCGTGATTATTGGTGAAGTTGCCAAAGATGAATACCAAGTGGTCCTGTTTGAACGGTCTGGATCATCAACAAGAGGGAATACGTACGTTAGTGGGCCACCCCGCAGAGAAGTGGGCCATATCTTGCTTTGCGTGTACCTCAGGAACAGTTTTACATGAGTGGCATATATCATATATGGGTGTTCAATTGGCAACTTGAGTCCTCTCCCTCTCTGTTTCTCTTTACTTCTTCAATCCTCAATCTTCATGTCTCTGGATCTTATCAAACCATTCCTTTCACCACTTACTTAACAACTCTCTTTGGTTGCAACCTCCACGTTTCAATTTTTTCAACGGACTTACTTAACAACTCTCTCTCTCTCTAAAATCAATCAATGAAGAAGAAGAGACTAGGGTGGTGTCCCTCTCGCAATTATAAGGGTAGTTTTTGTCGTTGACAAGAGATAACCTAACTGTGATAAAACATGAACACGTTCAATGCATTGAACACAAGATTTTCCCAAGTTAGGAAATTTGAAGTTGCTACCGCTTCCCACCTCATCAACTGTTGTGAGGGCGACACCCATTTACTAATTTGCGTTTCTTCTTCCAATTTCTTGTAGTTGTAGGCCTTCACACATTATCTCAAATGTTTAAACCTAACCCTAATAAGACCCCGTTGGGGACGGTTTTTGTATCTGGGGTAAGTTGAATTCATGAGCCGTTTTGGTTGAGCACTCGTGTTCTGAAGGCTTGGTTTGGAAGGAGTATAATATAAATACATATAAAATAATATAAAATACAATACTTAATTAGCGCTTTACATATATGTATTTGTACTCTTTCCATACTGAGCCGGATAAACTATATATATTCAGAGTAGTTGTGTTACAGTCACAATTCTAGCATTCAAGATGCCCATGTTTACTTTCCAGATTTTCACCAAACACAATTTTAAAGATTTCTACATGGGGTCCAGTTAGGAATGCTAGAGGCTAGAAGCCACATCCTAAAAGAATTCCCAAACAGATACTAAGATGATATAATATCTATGTATATATTCAGGGGTGTCAATGGTATTCAAAAATCTGATTTCGAATTTGAAACTTGACATAATTGAATCGAATTTGGATAATTCGAATATCTAATTGGTTGAATTCGGATATTCTATTCATATTCGATTTGATAAATATCCGAATTCGACCGATTATTTAATTCTTATATCTAATTTATAACATAAATAATTTATATATAATAATTAAACTATAAAAATAATTAATTAATCGAATTCAAATCGAATCGAATTCAGATATTATTTGATCCGATTCGAATTCGATCCGTTATATATATATCCATGGTGATCACCACTAAGATGGGTTTTCATCAATTGATATTATTTGCATCACTTCTGTAGAGTTACAACATAAGCTTGGCTGAATTGCTTTATAAATAGTTGATGCTCATCCCAAGCCCAACTATTGATGGACCTAGACCTTAAACCTAGCCTTTATCTAACTCAATTTTCAAATCTTTCAGACTAATCAAACTTATCCCTGAATTGTCCACATTTGACCCAAGAGGCCAAGATTACTAAATCGTGTAGGCCTACCCTGTCAATTCACTGTCTTGAGCTAGATTAAAAGTAAAAAAAAAAAAAAAAGAAAAAAGAAAAAAGCCATTTCCCCAGTCCAAACTAGGCTACAACTCATTGACTTACTATTTCTAGTCATAATTTATATCCTATTCAACTTTATTTGGCCTCTTCTTAATTATTATAAGCTTGAGTCATGAGCCCTATTTCAATTAAACATTCTTTTATTGACTATAAAATCTAACCCCAGAACCCAGATGGAAATTTTATATAGAAAAACAATAAATAAGTAGGCATATGTCAACCAGCAAGCATTTCGGGCAGTATCAGTCTGATCAGTCAAGCCTTCAGGCCCGCTCATATGAGTTATAATTCTGAAGCTTAATTTATTAGTGTTAGCCGTTTGATCTTCTCAACATACAGAAGCTACACATATTAACAGCTCAGGCCTATTCTTCTGAGCCAATGACAGAACCCCAAGAACCAGGGTTCCTGCAGCTAGTGCGAAGCCTAAAAGAGCAGTGGTCATTAATTAACACTCTCTGATGAGTAATAATCGCAATTAATTTGTTGCTTCAGTCTTGATCGTGTTCGTGGCCCCTTAAAACTGATGACCCAACCAAGTAGCTCTAGCCAACGAAGCAAATTAAAGAGAAAAATTTTCAGTCAATCTTAGTTGTCGGCATTGTGAATGCAGCTGAGAGATGGTCAAACATGAAAATTCAAAACAAACATGTTTTTGTTCAAATAACGCCAACACAAACAGATTTGAGCTTACCATAGGAAATCCACACCCAATTTCCCCATGCTTCCGTAGGTCCTCCTCCGTCCTTAGCGCTGTTGGTGGATGGTCATGGTCTCAACTCTCAACTCTCTTAGCCATGGAAGACCAAGATAATGAGATGTTCTGGCCTTCTGGGTTTCTAGCTTATAAGCTGGCACCACATGTGGAGAAGCTGGATGCTTCTCTGGTTTTTCTATTTTCTATTTTTTTTCAATTTCAATTTCAATTTATTTATTTTTGGAGCTAATCTTGTGAAGGATCGATATATATGATAGATAATAAACTTTTTCTTTTGGCAGTAAAAGATACATAGAACTTTTTGGGCATGTTGATAGTCCTTCACTCAACCAGCCTTGACAGGAGAAAAGAGACCGACCCACCATATGCCAAGAAGAGCCTTTTTCTTTTTATTTCTTCCACCTATAATAATAAAGGAAAGAGGGGAAAAAAAGAATCAGAAACTCTATAAATTAAGAGCTTTCTCTTCCTTCTGTTTTTCGAAAAGACTTGCTACGTCAGGTTCCACGTGGCTAAAGCAAGCTGGGTCATGCAATCAAAAGATGAATTGTATATTTGATGATTTGTTTTTTTTTTTTTTTTAATTTTGATCATATAATAGAATGTGCTGTTTCACATGCATGCCAGTTGAGATGTCAGTGATTAAACTTCCTCCTTTGTCCGTGCATGGCAAGTGGCAGCTTAACGGTTCTCTGCCACGTGGCAAACTAAAAACCCCAGTCTCCACCTTCCTTTAAAAATTCCTTCTCAATCCACAATCATCCTCTCTCTTATCCAAAAACCAAAAAAACAACCACAATCATTCTCTTATTTATTTATTTATTTTTGTGGAAAACTAAAAATCATACTCATGAATTTAAGTCGGAAGGATTTTATTCTAGATTGCCATGATAATGCCTTACAAATATGAATTCCAATCGTCTACAGTTCTACTTGTAATTTAATATTGGCCAATTATATTACGATAAACCCATATTAGATCTGTACACGTGGGTCCTACGTGTCAGGCCCATATGTCAAATTGTGAAATATCGTCCTGCAACTGCTTTGGCTTCTTCATGGAAGGAGGGATGTACTATCCCTTGATTGTCACGTGAAGCTTAAGTTTTTTTTCAAATATGAGCGCCTAGCGTTTCTTATACTTACCAACATAGAGCCGAAGTTTTTTTATTATTATTATTAATTTTTCCATCAAGCAAAAAATAAATGCTTTTGAAATATAAAATATGCTTAATTACTTTTTTGTGAAAAAAACCAAAGGCCATATCCGACAACTAAAAAAAGAAATAATAAATATGAGAACTTGTCCTTTTCCTACCAATTAAAGACACACCTTATATATAGTATATATATTATAGGGAAATTGTCTAAAACTCATCATGAGTTTTTAATGACCAAATTGTTAGACAGTTTTGTATGCCCTTAGCTTCAATCCGATTTGATGTACTTTTG